TAATTTAAGTAATATTAATTAATATTTGATCAACTGTTTGTATATGAACGGCGGGAAAAGAGCCCGCTGTTGCCTGGAGACGGATACACGGACGACTAAAGCTCCCCGTTACCATGCTAACATAACGTTCCCTGTGGCAGGCTGCGTGTTTCCTGTCGCTACAGTCCCGATTAAAGTGCTCTCACCTGCGCTTAGCGCTGCAGCTGTCCGAGGACGCTGTAATGGCGGAACAGCGACTTTAAACTGCTTTAAAACCTCTGCCTATAGATAAGAGCCTGAAAACTGACCAAACAACCTCGCTAAATTCGCATGGCCAAAGGGGAACCGCAAGGTTCTGGATTTGTAGTCGTAGCAGGTTTTCCTCTTTTAACAGCTCATTCAAGAAATATAACAAAGGTTATACTTCGTTTTATTTCTAATATTTTAATCCCCGTTTAACAGGACTTTTATGGCACTTCTATTTATATAATTATTAAGTTAACAAGAGCTGAAGATAGTTAATTCTGTTAATTCAACAGAAAAATAATTGTGACATTTCTGATTAGTTTTTTTTATAGAACCTCCTCTGATTATTGCCTGACTGAGTTCTGTATACTTTAGTTATAAAGTTATAAGATAAGATATCCAAGTTTCACTGCAATGTTAAGCAGATAACTATAGATGGACCTTTTTTACAAACATAAAAGCACCAGACAACTTGTATCTAAACAGGAACATGTATTTGCACAATAATTTTAGTTTCAAACACACATACACACACACAGTAACACACGCACACACACACACCACCACCACACAGTAACACACACACACACACAGTAACAGGCACGTACACAGCAGCTATGATCACACACCACACACACAGTAACACCCACGCACACACACACACAACCATCAGTAAACACGCGCACGACACACACGCACACACACACACACAAGAACAATCACAGACACACCACACACACACAGACCCACACACAGTAACACACAACACACAACAGACCACACACAGTAACACACCACACACACAGCACACACATAACACACACACACACAGTAAGTACACACACACACAACACACACATAGTACAACACCAGTAACACACAACACACACATAAGACACACACACACACACACACATATAAGTCACCACACACACACACACCAGTAACACACAGTAACACACACACACACAGTAACAACACCACCACGCACACAGTAACACACAGTAACACACACACACACACATTAACCACACACCACACACAGCACAGTAACATCACAACACACACACAAACCACACACACAGTAACACACACACACAACACAGACACAGTAAGACACACACACACAGTAAGACACAACACACACACACGCACATACAACACAAAACACACACACACACCACGCGCACACAACATAAGACACACACACACAACACACACCAGTATGAATGTAATCTAGAATCCCTGAGGTTTCCCCTGCGAGAATCTTATTTAAAATCGGTTATCTCACAGAGACACCAGACATTCCCTCACATGTCAGATTTTAGACATCACACCCCCACAAGATATGATCAGGCATCGTGTGTGTGTGTGATCTGTGTGTGTTACTGTGGTTGTGTTGGTGTTACTGTGTTTACTCTGTGTGTGTTACTGTGTGTGGCTGTGTGTGTGTGTTGTTTACTGTGTGTGTGTGTGTTGTGTCCTGTGTGTGTGTTGTACTGTTGTGTTGGTGTGTGTCTGTGTGTTGTTCTGTGTTTGTGTGTGTGTGTTACTGTGTGCTGTGTAATTGTGTGTGTTTGGTGTGTGTGTCTGTTGTTGTGTGTTACTGTGTGGTGTGTGTGCAGTTATTGATGTGTGGTAAGACAGATCCAAGATAACTGAATTACTCGCCACCACAGCTCAGACACACAGAGACAGAAAACATAAAATAAAACTGTTCATATTTACCAAGGTTATAAGAACAGTTTTAGCTTAAACACAACTGATGTGTAATCATATAGTAAATATAAATATATCTAAAATATGCCACAGATTAAGCTTGAGCAACTTCAGAGCAAAATGGCTATAAAAGGTCATAGAGAGAATATATGTATAATATATAGTAATGTTACTATAAAACCAAACCTATCCATCCCTTAACCAGAAACAACAACCAGAACCAACACCAGAACCAACAAAGAGCTTCTGTATTTAATTTCGGCCTCAAGAAACTGTTAAAAAAAGAGAAAAAACAAGTTTAAAGTGAGCACATTAAATAAATCAAAATAAGTATGTTTCATTAAGGATTTAATCGAGCTGATCATAAGAAAATTGTTTTTGTTACAATAGATTACGTTTAAAATCTGCGCAGAAGAGCGGGTCTCCGTCTGCGGATTCCGTAATGTTAACCACCATGTTTGTAACAGCACCCAGAACTGTGCTGACAAATAGTTAAAGCAAAAAAAAAATTAAATTGAATCAGACATTATTAGATTCTATGACCAAGAGCCGGATCCCGACCAAGAGCCGGATCCGACCAGTAGAGCCGGATCCGACCAGAGAGCCGGATCCCGACCAGATGAGCCGGATCCGACCCAGAGAGCTGATCTGGACCCCTCAAAGTTGACACTCACCAACTAAGCCACCTGGACCCATTTCCCATGATCTCCTGTGTGATGTCCCTCTAATCCAGTGCCTTAATCAAAGGAACAACAATTCCACGCGATCAGAGACCGTCTAGACCTGACCAAGCTGAAAGTCTGGTGTCAGGCTGACGCTCAGGATGACTCAGCAAGCGGACAGATACCGCAATAACAAATAATACTGCTATAATAATAAATATGCTAAAATAATAATTACTGCTAATAACCAATAATACTGCTAATAATAATAATACTGCTAATAACAATAATAATATACATATCTATACATACGTATATATAGATATGTATGTGTATATATATGTATATGTCTCCTTTATCTTTTAACATGTTGTCTTTTCAACATAGATTAGCTTAGCATGTAGCATATCTACAGGAAAAGGAGGAAGTTGACCAAGGTTCTCAACTGTGATTGGAGCAGAGAGCCAAGGGGGCGGGGCTTATGAAGGTCTTATATAGTTGATCCTGAGGGGAACTGAAGAGAACAATAAACCGCTGACCATGTTCTTGCTGCTTCCACCTGAAAGTTCAGGCTAACAGGAAGTTAGCAGACAAACAGACAAACAGCAGTGTTTGTTTTTTCCATTTTGTTTATTGTGTTGGTCTGTTCATATCTTTAAAGAGATTATATACACAAATTAGTACAACAGCAAGAGTTATCCAAAAAATTACACATTCAAAAAAAGACAGACAACCCTTGAGAAAAAGATTTTAAGGTCTGAGTGAGTGGAGGTTTAAAGCTGAACGCACTCTGGCTTTAAGATCCTCTCCCAGTTAAGAAAGAACAGGTGCAGTGTATTAATAGCTACAGCAGACAAAATACAAAAAACAAAAACAGTCTCCCTGGATCAGAGCGAGTGGTAGAAAAGTGCCCTTTATTCTGAAATCTTGTTTGGACTGAAAACAAAAAGGCAAACTAAAAGTCCCTTCTCTAATAAGAACAATGTTGGTGCTATAATTGCAGGTATACTGATTAAAATAATTTACTATTAAACTAGTTATTTTATGAAAAGATTCCAAGAAGATCCCCGAACAGAAAAGTGGAAAAATACTTTTGACAATCAAAAAGAATATTCAGCAAACAGCTTCACATTTCACTCCTCGCACTCACTCACTACCTGAAGTAAAGACAGAAAGAAGAGACAGGTGAGCATTAAAAACACATCTCACTGCAGCCGCCAACCGCCGCCAACCGCCG